GGATTAACTAAAATAGTTAAGTCCTACATGAATGTATGTCTTGTCAACTAAAACAGTTGAACGACATAACGGATGGTTGTTTATATTTTCTGTTAGTAGAATGGATAGAGATTTAATTAAAACATTTAAATCCTAATTTTATGTCATGTCATGGCAACGAACTGTTGAGCGACACTACATTGGTTTGGATGGAATTTATATATATAAACTATGGTACCGCGGTCTGAACTTGAGTCTTATAGTCGACGGTTAGGGATATGCAATAGGATGCGTAGCTAGTTATGCTGGTTGAGGTATACCCTGTTAGGCTTAAGTAGTCATGCCCACTCAGGTGCGTTTTTGCATGTTGCCTTCTATTCAGGTTGAGACCCTCAGCATAGCCTAGTGAGAGTCTTGTAGTATGGTTATATGTATATATCTATTTACGGACTATATAGATATGGTTGAGACATCTAAGATGTATCTGCGTATCGGGTCTCTGTTTGGATTGTAGTTAGGATAGAACTTATTCGTGGGCCTGACCCACTATTATTTTTCAGGTAACGGACGGTATTAGGTCTTAGAGCTTGTTCGTGCAGAGCAGAGACGACTACTCACTCTACCGATGACGTAAGTGGTTCCTGTATGGTTTAGCATTAGATTCCTTTCCGGTGGTTCATTTCTCAGTGTTGGTTTTATTAGGGGTCCACCAGATGGATTCCCGAGTTGTATTAGAATTGGAGAAATTGGATGTATCAGATTAATACTTTCTTTATAAACATTTTATTCTGAGGTTTTCAGTTTTGGGTTTACTATTCTAGTTTCTTTTCAGTAATTTATTTATTCCTATTTTCTTAATTATATTCTGTGTTCGTTTATTGCTAATTAGTTTGATATCCTTGGGTAATTGGGCGTGGGCCTGGCCAACCCGCATCCGGAAATCCAGGAGTATCACACATTAATAGACATGATCCATTTAAATTAAGTCCAATCCAAAATCTATTAAAATTCAAACAATAAATATATAGTATATCTTTATATCCAATACTAGAATTTGTATCAATACTAGAATAGATTTAACTTTGTAACCAAACACATTTTTATCTCCTCGGTCTTCCCACGTTTGACTGACCATATTCTCTTTCCTCTAGCCAGATGCTGTCTCTTAACTTTCTATCTTCCTTCTCCTAGGTCTTCCCACGTTTTCTTCTTTCATTCTGTCTTCAATTGATCCACACCAACAAGAGCATCTTCTTTCTCCTCGGTCTTCACATGTGTTCTTCTTTCATTCTGTCTTCGATTAATCCACACCAACCAGAGCATAATCATCAGGTTCTTCATCATCTCTTTGCTAATTTCCCCTCTCTCTTCTAGTTTCTCTCTCATCCCTTCCATTTTTTTTATTTATAGTTGTTTTTGGTTTGTTGTCTTCGATCGGTCCATACAAAAAAGCACAAATATCTTTTCATCCTCTCTTTCTTTCAAATAAGAATCTAAACTGCAGTGTCCTCCGGTGTACTAGCCGTGTCCTCCGGTGTGTCCTGGCCGTATCTTATGGCGTGTCCGACTTGAAAAAATGAATTAAAAAATAGGACACGCGTAGAAGGGTGTCGGACACATGTCCAAGGCTAGGACACACGGACGTCACCCCTACCACGCGTGTCCGTGCTTCATAGCTAAAATCTCAAAAAATTCAAATTTTTACAAATTCTCAAAGTTTTTTTTTAAAAAAGAAAAAGTTAATTTAGAGATATATAGAGAGAAAAAAGTTTCAAAGTTTCATATATATATATATATATATATATATATATAAGGTAATGCGCACATAGCACCCCTGTACTATGGGATTAGTAGCATATATACCTCCTTGGGCATTTTTGGACGAGTGCAAGGGATAAATGGGTATTACAATACTAATTTATGTCAAAGGGGGTATTTTGCACAATGTGAAAAAAATAGTGGTGTTTTTTGCATGCTTTTTCAAATAAGGGGTATTTTTGCACAATGTGAAAAAATTAGGGGTGTTTTTTGCATACTTTTTTAAATAGGGGGTAAAAGTGCTATGCGTAGTATACTTTAGATGTATTTTCTGCACTTGTTCCATTTCAAAACGCAAAGATTGATTGGTGTGAGAGGGAAGCTCCGTTTCAAAATACAAGCCAAAACAGTCATCATCATCATCATATCATTCGCATGCAGTAGCGGAGGATGATGAGTGTTTTGGCTTGAGGTTTTGAGATGTGCTTGAATGAAGGCAGGGTCAGTGACTAGAGAATACCATGATTTGCAAACTGACCTCAATCGTAATAGTGATTTTAAGTGCAGTCTAATAAAGATAGTAAATATTAGAATTTGACTCTGCTCTGCTGCTCCTCCTTTTTTGTTTTGCCTTTCCTTTCCTTCGCTGCTGCCAAGTGGGGTTGCGTTTTGAGTCGCAGGTGAAGTTGGATTAGGTTTGGATTTGAATATTAGATCATCTAATATGGAAAAATATACTCCCTAGTTAAATAAGGAGAAGAAGAAAACATGAATTATATTCCTATTTTTAATAAATATATATATATTTTTTCTTTTTAACCTCCGGGCTCGAAGCTCTCCCCTGAACTACAAGTAAAAAATTTATTCAATAACAGAATCCATTACATTAGGACAGAAGAAAAAAGAGGTACCGATCCAAGTTAACTTATCAGTGACCATCCTAAAGCATCGAAATAAAGTATTACACACTCTGCATGAACATTAATCCCAGAGATTTTTCCTTGGATCAAATCAACACTCTTCACAATCCCAGGGAAAACACATCATCTAATCAAGGATTAAAGTTATCATCAGATATAAGATCACATAAAAATGCTAAATTTCAGCTAAAGTTTCTCTGTATTCAGCTTAGGATGATCGATAGATTATCATATAATAGGCTTGAATGGTACTAATCCTCGTCATCTACTAATACAATAACTTTCTTGGTTCAACACACACACACACAAAGTGCTATCTAAAAGAAGCAAGTGCTATGTGTTTCTGGAGGGGTTACAAAGCTGAAAGAAAGTTAACCTTGACCGCAATTTGTCATTCACAAAATACTTGACCTTCTAAACCCTAGCTGTGAAGGATTCAGATCCGGAGACTCATCATAAAAGAGTGATTCCCCCATGACCGCAGTTTGTGAATATCGTTGCTGAGCATCATCTGGTAGCATTAACTCTCTCAAAGCTTCATAACCCATTGTTAATGTTTCTTAAAGCACTACATATCAGAAGAAGAATAGTTAAGAGCATCTCTTGCATTTGACTAAATGAAACATTGTGTTTGCCTTGATTTAAAGTAAGGATTCTGGACATACAAAGGACAACTACTAACAAATATCACAAGGAGAGAAGGCATCTAAAGGCATGCATAAAATGTTGAAAAAAGATGGCCATGAATCCTCCCTATCACCCCCAAAACCACCTCTATTCCATTCTCTTCACCCTCCCCCTCTCCTCCTGAATGACAGAAAGGGAAAAAAATAAATAAATAAAAGAAGAAAAAAGAGGTACCCATCCAAGTTAACTTATCAGTGACCATCCTAAAGCGTCAAAATAAAGTATTACACACTCTGCATGAACATTAATCCCAGAGATTTTTCCATGGATCAAATCAACACTCTACACAATACCAGGGAAAACACATCATCTAATCAAGCATTAAAGTTATCATCTGGTATAAGATCACATAAAAATGCTAAATTCTAGCTAAAGTTCCTCTGTATTCAGCCTAGGATGATCCATAGATTATCATATAATAGGCTTGAATGGTACTAATCCCCATCATCTACTAATAGAATAACTTTCTTGTTTCAACACACACACACAAAGTGGTATCTAAAAAGAAGCAAGTGCTATGTGTTTCTAGAGGGTTAAAAAGCTGAAAGAAAGTCAACCTTGACCGCAATTTATCATTCACAAATACTTGACCTTCTACAGCCTAGCTGCGAAGGATTCAGATACGGAGACTCATCATAAAAGACAGAGTGATTCCCCCATGGCCGCAATTTGTGAATATCTTTGCTGAGCATCATCTGGTAGCACTAACTCTCTCAAAACTTCATAACCCATTGTTAATGTTTCTTAAAGCACTACATATCAGAAGAATAATAGTTAAGAGCATCTTTTGCATTTGACTAAATGAAACATTGTGCAATTTGCCTTGATTTAATAAAATTTCCACCTTTCTCTTTTTGTTTTCACATGTTTGCAATGTGCTCTGTTTTGTGGTTAAGGAAATTCTGAAATCTAATCGAAATTTGGAGGAAAGTGGAACACAAACCACTCACGAAATTTACTTGAATACGAACTTTTGTAAGATTATACTACTACATTAATTCAATTCAAGCATGAGAAATCTAATCTTTAACCAGGCTGGGGTCTCTAGACACATGAACATATGTGGACCAGCAAGAAGATATCTAATCTTTGTTAGGGTTAATTACCTGGTGACACTCCTAATTATGTAGTGAACGCAAATATGGTGATCACCAAAAACTTGTGTGGATGGAGGAACTACATACAACAATGCAGATATAGTAATCTGAAATATTCCACTTAAACAAATTACAATCTTATGGGTAAATGCCTAAATGGTGGTCCTTGAACATGGAACTCTAGAAGGTTAAGTGTGTTTCAGACATCGCAAATCCCCAAAGCATATAACACTTGCTTCTGCTTAAAACCTTTTCAATAATAAAGCTTAAAATCACAAAGTTCATGCATTCAAGCTAAAAAAGGCTATTGACATTACATTTTTACAATAGGTCATTTTTCATTCTTTCCCGATGCTTCTCCAGAAAAACCAAATTGGTGCTTATAATTTAGTCTCCAAAGCTAATCTTTCATACTTGCAACATACAATATATTTGACCAGCCAAAGACAATAATCAACACTAAGACATGAGTTGTGGTACACAACTCTTACAATATGACAAATGAATAAAATAATTTATTTCACCTCTCTTCTAACCATTTCTTGGTGACTTATCAAAATCAATGCTTCTTGAGATGTTCCTGGTAAATAGCTGCATCACAATCCTTGTCTTCCTCACAATTTAACAGATCCAGCGAGCACATACCGACGGCAACGGCAACCCAACACAAGCAGCGACCTAACAACAAGCAGTGACCCTTCAGCACGCACATGACAGATCTTAAGTGTAAATGTATCTGATATACATCTGTTCTGTTTTTTTGTATTAGCTAATTCAGAAGGTGGATTTTCATTATCAAGTGAAAAAAAGACTCTGCACCATCAAAATTATTGAATGAAACTCTCCACGTAAGAATATGCAGAGAATAACTGTCCATGGATTCCTAGATCCTTAGCTCTTCGGGTTTCAAAATTATAAGATACCAAATCGCTCTTGCGGTTTACTTGTAGCAGTTCACCGCTCTTTCTCAAGCCTAGTAGCTCTAAAGGTGGGTCTTGGAAGTTGAGAGTAAATCGTTTTGTCCACGAACCCATGTTGCCACACTCCATTGTCCACAAGTGGCAACACTCATTCGAATGAAATGGGAAAAGATACAGTGATTCCCCCATAATTGCAATGTGCGGACAACAACCATGTGTAGCACCATTTGGCAGCATTATGTCTTCAAAAACTTCATCACCCATATCAAAACGCACAAGTAAACAACAAAAACCCTCATCAGTTCTCTTCATTGCAACCCAATACGCAGCTCCATTCCCAATTGCAGGTAACTGATCAGCAAAAAAATATGAAGAGGCACCATCAATTATTCTCCAAGAATCCGTGCTTAGACTATAAACCTCAGCTCCAGTCACGATGTCGGGTATACGAATGTCACCACCCCAAGAGCACAAAATCCTCACAACCTTGTAGTCATTAACTCCAGGGAGGAACTCAAATGCCAAATTGGCCCGATAGGTTTTTGAATTTGTAACGACCCTAGCGGATGCCAAAATTTAAAAAAAATTCAGCATAACCTCCCCTAAAAATGGGCCTTCAACAACCTGTCCCAATACACAAAACACATAATATCATGCAGCATCCCATTCATCCGTTCATTATACCTCAACATAGTTCCTCTCATGGTGGAACATCCACACACCAATTAATCCAAATTATTATAATTACAGTCCCAAATACATGGTTAAAATTTAAAGTCCCTGTCTTACAACGTTACATGATACAATTGCATGGAAACATATATCATAATTCCATTAGTTTCATTTACATCAAACAAAAGATAAGTTCATTCTTAAGTTACAAGGCCATGAATACTAACTTAGTTACATCCCTACAACTATAAATATACATAAAACGGTCAAAATACAAAATAGCAAACAACTTTCAAGCTTGAGGTGGATTGTCGTCCACCGGTTCATTTCCAAGACCTGAAAAAAATAATATAAATAGTAGGGTGAGCATAAAGCTCAGTAGGTGACACTTAAGACACAATTCTTGTGTCATTGTGAATCCGAACAAAGCATAGGCTAATGGGAAATAGGGATCATGCAATATAGGGAATTAAAACAATATGCACGTCAATTCTAATTATAAACCATGCAGTGCAATGAAATGCAATGCATGCTAATGCCACTCCCCATTTTCATTCACCAAACCATTACTTTCAAATGTTAATACAGCCTGCCCATTGGTAACCCCGCCGCGACACGAGAGGAGGATTGGCTATCGTCCCTAGACCTTTGGTAACCCCGCAGCGTCATCGAGGGGCCCGAACAGCTCAACCACGCTAGGGCGACTCCCTAGTCCCCTCTAGGCTATATTAACCTCTGGCCCGTTGGTAACCCCGTAGCGACCGAGTTTATCAAAACTATTTGACAAAACACTTCTCCCAAAATTTCCCCTATTTTCATTTTAAGACAAATTCTCCCATTTCATGCATCCCAATGACATATGCATGGATGTACATATAATCTCAATATTATGACAATGGGAAATTTGGCACAATCTAAATAAACATGTTTTCATTAGTCATTTTCAGCATGTTAACACATAGTGGGCATGATAAAACAACATCTAAACATATTTACACATGTAACAAGTCATAATCAAGCTCTTAAAAATTCTCTAGACATCATTCATACAATCATAGATACAATTAACTCCCAATTAAACATGTTTGACACAACAAAGAGGTGTAATTCACAATAGAACAAGAAAGGAGTGGATTAAGATGCCTCTACCTCAAAATGAGCAAAATCCCTAGAAATGGGTTCTTAAATTCGAGCTCCCAAAGAGGACCAAAAGCTAGAATTTCTGGTACTAGCACATAGAGCTAGTCGTGCTCGTCGTTTTGCCTCAAACGGCACCTAAATCTACCAAGTAACGAAGAAGAAATCTTGCCTCAAAGATTGGGTTGAAAAAGAAAAGAAAATGAAATAGAAAATTGAGAGAGAGAAATAGATACGGGGAGAGAGAAAGAATGAGAGACCAAAAATGGTCTCTAGCCACTTAAGGCTTAGTGGTGGGACCCACCAAAAATTCTTTTCTTTTCTCTTTTTCTTTTTCTTTTTAATTTACAGACATTAAATTCTCCCCAACTTCAAAAGATTTCATCCCCGAAATCAAGACATACCTGGAGAAGAAAACAACTCTGGATACTTGGAGCGAACCTCTTGTTTGAGCTCCCAAGTAGCCTCCTCTACTCCATGGTGTCTCTAAAGGACTTTCACCATTGGTATCGTCTTATTCCTCAACACCTTTTGTTGTGTGTCAAGAATCCGAACTGGTCCTTCCTCGTAGGAAACATCCTCATCAATGTCTACATCAACTCAACTCAAAATGTGAGATGGATCTGGCTCGTACTTCCATAACATCGATACATGGAAAACATTGTGGACCCTATCCAACTGTGGTGGCAAAGCAAGTCTGTAGGCAACCTCTTCTACACGGTCCAAAATCTCAAACGGTCTGATGAATCGTGGCGACAACTTGCCACTTTTCCCGAATCTCATCAATCTTTTTCGTGGAGAAACCCGTAGAAAAACATGGTCTCCTACCTCAAAGGATAACGACCGTCTCTACTTATCCGCATAAATTTTCTGTCGGCTTTGAGCTGTAAGTAACCTCTGTCTTATCAACTTAATCTTTTCAGTAGTCTCGATTACAATGTCAGGTCCTAAGGTCTACCATACAATGCCTCAAATTGAGCCATCTGAATGCTCACTTGATAACTGTTGTTGTATGCAAATTTAATAAGTGGAAGGTGATCCTCCCAACTGCTACCCAAGTCAAGCACACATGCCCGAAGCATATCTTCTAAAATCTGGATAGTACGCTCCGACTGACCGTCAGTCTGTGGATAGAATGCCGTACTCAGATGCAACGCTGAGCCAAACGCTGCTTGAAGTCCTTCCCAGAACTTCGAAGTGAACTTGGCATCCTTATCTGAAACAATGGTTACTAGAACTCCATGCAACCTTACAATCTCCTTCACATAAAGAACACCAAGCTTCTCTGCATCATCTGTTGCCTTAATATGTAAAAAGTAAGCCGTCTTGGTCAATCTATCAATGATGACCCATACGGACTCATTGCCCCTTCGTGACCTTGGAAGACCTGTCACAAAATCCATAGCAATATGCTCCCATTTCTATTACGCTACAGGTAATGGTTGCAATAAACCGGCTAGTTTTTGATACTCGGCCTTCACCTGCTGACAGGTGAGGCATCTAGCCACAAACTGTGCAACATCTTTCTTCATCCCGTTCCACCAATACTGACGTCTCAAATTGTGATACATCTTGGTACCACCTAGATGAACTGTAAAGCGGGAAGTGTGAAACTCCCGTAAGACGTCCTCACAACAAACCGTAGGAACCACTAACAAATCCCTGAACCGTAGACCCCCATCTGTATACAAGGCCCAATCTTTCATTGTCTCACCACTGGAGATCAAAGCGTGAATGGCATCTAAATCCGGGTCCTGTCTCTGTGACTCAATCACTAATACAACAAGAGTAGGCTTAGCCACAAGACTAAACAAAAATGCTGGCTCACTGTTAACATCGTCATCAAAACAATACAATCCCATCTCTACCAAATCCTTAAGCATCTTCTATTTTCGAATAGCCAGACTAGCCAAAATTCCACGGGATTTCCGACTTAAGGCATCTGCTACCACATTTGCCTTGCCTGGATGATATTGTAAGTCAAAATTGTAGTCCTCTAAGAATTCAACCCATCTTCTCTGTCTATTGTTCAAGTCATTTTAGAAGAAAAAGGTACTTAAGACTTTTATGATCCGAGTACACCTCGAATCTCTCACCATACAAGTAATGTCTCCAACACTTTAAGGCAAATACAACTGCCGCTAACTCCAAATCATGAGTAGGGTAGTTGTACTCGTGAGTCTTCAACAGTCGAGACCCATAAGCCACTACTCTACCATCCTGCATCAACATACACCCTAAACCATCACGTGAAGCATCACAATAGATCACATAACCCAAGCCATGCTCAGGTATCACCAACACTGGAGCCGTAGTCAACCTTGTTTTCAATTCCTAAAAAGATGACTCACAGGCTTCATTCCATACAAACTTAATCCCTTTCCGGGTTAAACGGGTCATAGACGCTGCCAAACGGGAGAAATCTTTCACAAATCTCCGGTAGTAACTCGCTAGACCAAGAAAACTATGGATCTCAAACACATTCTTGGGTTGCTCCCAATTCAAAATAGCTTCAATCTGTAATACCCCTAGTTTTCAAAAGGATAAAATGGGAATATTTTGGTTTGTTTTTCATTTTTATTTAAATTATTGGACTTATTTGTTATTTGGTTAAGGGAATATTTTGGTTTGTTTTTCATTTTTATTTAAATTATTGGACTTATTTGTTATTTGGTTAAATTAGTTGATTTATTATTATTTGTGTGTATTTAATTTAATTGTTATATAGTGAATTGGTTTGTTTAATTGATTAAGTGTGAATTATTTGTTTTAGATTAATTGATTTATTTTAATTGTTTATTAGTTTTAAATTAATTGTTTAATTGAATTGGTGTTTTAAATTAATTAATTATTTATTTTAATTTAATTGGTTTTAACTGACGTGTCTTGTTTATGGCTTATATGGTTTATATTTTAGGGTTATTTTAATTTAAGTTAGGGTTTCATTTATTCATGGTGTAGCCGACTTGTAAATTTAATTGAATTAAACATAGGTTAAATAATAGCCTATATATATAAAACTGTATGGTCTGCTAGGGTTGGAGAAACAAAAAAATAAAACCCTATTCACGGAATAGTATTTTGAGAGGAAAACAGAGAGGGTTCTTGGGAGAATCTGTGAGGCTAATGGAGGAAGGATAGAGGACGAGCAGAGGAGTTGCTCGTGGGTAAGTCAAGAAGCAACAGAGGAATAGAAGGTTTATCAAAGGAGGAAAAAAATCTGGGGATTCTGAAAGGTAGAGACGGCGTAGAGGTTTTAATTTAAAATCTCATAGGCAAGTTTCATTCTGTCTCCTTCTTATAAACTTGTGTTCTGTGCATTCTATATAGTCTCCAGGGATTAATTCAACCTTTAAAACTAATAGTTGATGCATGTTATATTAGACTGTAACCTGTTTTACGTTTAAATAACTGAAGTTGGGTTTTTCTCAAACTGTGTTGTTTTTTATTTAAACTTCTGTCAATCAAGTTCATAATAGAATTTAGGAAGTTTCTATGATTGTTGGGACTTGTATTGAACCTTAAGAACTTTAAGGAAACTTAGAGCAGATGAGTGGTCTTCGCCGGAAGTGAAGAAGATAAACAGAGGAAAAGAAAATTGTTTCGGTTGAAGCTTTGTTAATAAATTCATATTGGCATATGTAGGGTTTCTAGGACTTTAGGAACTTGAATGGAACCCTAGGAATGTTAAAAATATTTGGGATAGGACATTGGGCTTCGCCGGAAGAGCAGACGACAACCGGACGAAGCAGAAACAAAGCAGTGAAGTAGAGAGGGGCTCTCAGGGGTGAGAGCCGGCTCCTAAATGGTGGGAGCCGGCTCCCATGAAGAGAGAGCCAGCTCTCCATGAGGGAGAGCCGGCTCTAGAAGCCTAGGAGCCAGCTCCAATAAAGGGGAGCCAGCTCCCATGGGAAAAAACCCCTACGGGTGTTTTCTGTAATTTTTCTGAAGTTCAGGGGCTTAAAGGTAATTACTGGAAAGTGATGGGGGGTTTTAAATGATTAAAATTAACTTGTTAAAGCCTTCAAATAGTTGGTTTATGCTAAGGTGCTAAACCTAAATGCATGTCATAAAACATAAGCTTATAATAGGCCTACTGTCAAGGAAGGAGGAATGCTTGTTTTGCTAAGTTGTTTTGACAACTTAATTTGGACTGACATTGTAATTATTGTTAGAATTTATATCAATGATATATTTAGCATAGTTCAGTTCCAGGAATGTTGGTTATGATGTCATGTACCCTTATCTAATAAGCTGCATATTGTCGGGAGTAGTGGAAGATTAGTTGCTAGTTTTGTGTTAGCAAATTAAATGGAACTCATATAAAATACTTTTTGAAGTTTCATATGATGTACTTAAACTTTGGAGTGTCATTATATCCGACACAGAATTTATAATGGGGAATTACATAAATGCTATGAGATTTAATTATAAATTTGCATGTCGTAAAGGATATGGGAGGATTTAAATGCTAGTCATCATTTTAACATTTTAAACAAACTAGTATAGATGTGTTGTTTTGGAATTCTAGT